CCGTATCCGAGACATGTCTGGATTGATCAAGTTCAAACTTCACACACACATGGTACATCATGTCACAAATAGATATGTGCATTTGTTTCATGATCTGCTTAACAATAGCGGAATGATGGCCATTTTAAGGCCGAAAATGCATCAAAATCACGTATTTTCACAATTCCAGAACCGGATCTCAGTCATGCATGGATGGATTTTGTTCAGATTTAGCACAATGTGTTGTACATTATGCAGGTGCATTTCGGTCATGATCTGCTTTGAATGTATATGTCACTCAAATATGAACGGAACGGGGACGTGTCATTGACAATGACTTGTTTTCAATATATTTCGTCTCATCTTATATATTGGTGTGTGGATTTGATCAAAAAATGGCTGTAGCCTTGACCGCACTCTCTCAATCCATACATTAATTTTTGGAGTGTCCGGAGCAATATCTCGACCTGAAGTGGTCAGCTGCAAGAGCTGGAAAGGAACAAATTGTATATTACCAAACTACACAATGATATAGTGACCATACGTTATGGTAATCCCTTGAAATCGCTACATTGAACATGCAGAACAAATACAAGATGAAATACAAGCACACAAAAACAATGTCAACTACAAAACATTACTGTAAATAAGAATTTACAAACTAAAAACTAAATTTAGAATTAAAAAAAAAAACATAAAAAGAAAATTATGCCATACTAACAAGAGGTATTTCTGTTACATAATCAAAATGTTTTTATAAATTTGGCAATTTCATCATTGACAATGTTCATTTCACTGCTGTTATTGTCCATTATCATAATAATTTATTCTCTTCTGTAAAATTTGTAAAATTGATTACGGTATTTATTTTTTTGCGGCTTGATTTTTTTTCATTGTTCGCTGTAAAAAGAGTGTGTTGTTGACAAAATGGTGTTTGACTTCCACATAATTTTTTTACACCAACTGTACAATATTCAAAGTTATACGGAATTTATACGATAGAAAGAACTAGAAAAATGTACCTCCGGTACTGCCATTATATCTGCAAGAGTGATGTCATCACCACAAAGAAATTTCTGATCTTTTAAAAATATACTATATGTATTCTCAACTCTATCCAATGTGGCCTTGAATGCAGTCACTGCATTTTCTAGTCTTTGCTGGTTTATCTCCGTGCCACTTACAATAGGAATAACCACCTAAAACAAATAATACAAATTAAATCATGCAATATTGGCGGAAGTATTCCACTGATATGTGGTATCAGCAGATATTGCACTGTAAACATCTGAAATATATTATCGACAGATATTGCACTGTAATTTATATGCAATATCAGCAAATATTGTACTGTAATTTATATGCGATATAAGCAAATATTGTACTGTAATTTATATGCGATATCAGCAAATATTGTACTGTAATTTATATGCGATATAAGCAAATATTGTACTGTAATGTATATGCGATATTAGCAAATATTGCACTGTAATTTATATGCAATATCAGCTGATATTGTACTGTAATTTTTATGCGATATCAGCAAATATTGCACTGTAATTTATATGCGATATCAGCAAATATTGTACTGTAATTGATATGCGATATAAGCAAATATTGTACTGTAATTTTTATGCGATATCAGCAAATATTGCACTGTAATTTATATGCGATATCAGTAAATATTGCACTGTAATTTATATGCGATATCAGCAAATATTGTACTGTAATGTATATGCGATATTAGCAAATATTGCACTGTAATTTATATGCAATATCAGCTGATATTGTACTGTAATTTATATGCAATATCAGCAAATATTGTACTGTAATTTATATGCGATATCCGCAAATATTGCACTGTAATTTATATGCAATATCAGCTGATATTGTACTGTAATTTATATGCGATATCAGCAAATATTGCACTGTAATTTATATGCGATATCAGCAAATATTGTACTGTAATTTATATGCGATATCAGCAAATATTGTACTGTAATTTATATGCGATATCAGCAAATATTGTACTGTAATTTATATGCGATATCAGCAAATATTGTACTGTAATTTATATGCGATATCAGCAGATATTGTACTGTAATTTATATGCGATATCAGCAAATATTGTACTGTAATTTATATGCGATATCAGCAAATATTGTACTGTAATTTATATGTGATATCAGCAAATATTGTACTGTAATGTATATGCGATATCAGCAGATATTGCACTGTAACTAATTAGCTGCCAAAGTAATGCTCTGATGATGACAAAAATGATCAAACAACAGTGAAAAAAAAACAGATTTTAAAATTACAAAAATATTCCATTCACAAACTAGGCACGGTATCTTCAAAGCCTGAAGTGTGATAACATTTCAAAATACCTCTGTCCAGTATAGGAATGCTACATCCTTTCTGGTGTTACCATGGTGCCAAGCGAGATACTCATCCACTCTGGCTCTCTTCTGCAGATCTTGTGGATACCAGTGATCTACAGTGTTGTATTTGGCTGCCAAGTATTTCAAAATAGCAACGCTGCATGCAATAAAGATGAAAAACAATAAAAAATGTCCTAGTAATATATGACAACCATAACTATTCACTTTTCTTCATGTATGTTTCAGGCAACCTAATACAATTACATGTTACATCTACCGATACAGACTAAACACACTGCCAGAGAAAGCCATGATGTATTACAAAGTACACTAAAAGAAAATATTAAAAATAATACAAATCAACACAAAAATATTGAAGAAAGCATGGGGAAATTTGAATTTAAAGAAATTAAAGTTAAAGTTAAGATAACAAATACTAGTATCAATCATTTTGTAACTATTATGGACCATAATTTTTTTTTTTTTTTTCATTTTTTTTTTTATTATTTACGTTAACCACATATATAATTACATAAATTTATCCCAACAAAAGAGTAAAAAATTGTATGGACCATACATTACCAAATGAGTAAAAAGTCCTGGAAGGAACAATTAAATATTGAAATAATTAAAAAGAAGGAAAAAGAGATTAATAACATATCAATTATTTAAAAAAGAGTTTGGAGTGGAAAAATACCTTAATGAAATAAAAACCTTAGAAGAATTGTGACTATGTTTAGAATCAGTGGACATAATTTGGAAATGTCATTAGAAGAAAAGTCTTAGAAGAAAAGAATATCGATAGACTTTGTAAAAAAAAATGCAAGCAAAAAGTATTTGAGAATTAAATTCACTTTGTCCTAGATAGTGAATTATATAAATAGGAAAGAAAATTCTTACTTAAAGAAAGTGATATCAAAACAAACCAGAAAAATGAAAAACTAAATAACTATAAAACAACTTAAAGTTGAATATGTAGTTTGTTATATTGCATTAGCCAATTAGTTGAAAAAATACAATATACAAAATTAAATAAAAATAATGGTTTAATTTCTGTAATAACAACGGGAGGGAGGGTATTTTGTATTAGGTATTGTTTGTTTCTATCTGTGCAATGTATTTTATGTTATGTCTTTACCATACTGTACCGTCAGATGGTACTTATTGAGTAATGAAGTTATTATACTTATATCTTTACTATACCTTTCACCGAGACAGAACAGAATATCTTTTATTGCAGGCACTTTGTTCTGCGGATTAATTTGGTAGAATGTTTCTGACCAGGTGTCACCTGGTTGTAAGAAGAATAATTGCATGTAAATTACAGCCATAAAATGTTGACCCCCCTAAAATGAAAATACACTTTTCACACTCTCCCAGCCGTCCCCATGATTTCAAATGGTTGAACCCAAACGATTTACTTCCATGAAAATGCACTTTTCACACTCTCCCAGCCGTCCCCATGATTTCAAATGGTTGAACCCAAACGATTTACTTCCATGAAAATGCACTTTTCACACTCTCCACGCCGCCCCCATGATTTCAAATGGTTGAACCCAAACAATTTACTTCCATGAAAACGCACTTTTCACACTCTCCCAGCCACCCCCATGATTTCAAACGATTTACTTCCATGAAAACGCACTTTTCACACTCTCCAAGCCACCCCCATGATTTCAAATGGTTGAACCCAAACGATTTACTTCCATGAAAACGCACTTTTCACACTCTC